GCAGGCAGGAAACAGGCCAAAGGAGCTACATCTATTGTCCTCTAAGAACAGACAAGGACCATCCCTGGGGCAGCTTAGAGATCAGCAGAACTGCTGGAAGAAGCATGAGAAGCAGGGCCTTCTCGCTTTCAAAGGGTAGGGCCATGGTCTCTTGGATCTTCAAAGAGCCTCTCCCAGGTTTCAAAGAGTTGGATCTTTGCCAACTTGTTTCTGAAGTGTTGGGTCACCATTAAGGTGTGCTGGGGGTTAGGGCTACAGCCCAAAGCTGAGGAAACAGGGCTGCCATGCCCAAAGGGCAGAAGAACAGGGCCTACTGGGACCAAGGGGGTGGGGTTGCCATGCAGATGGACTAGGACAATGGGACTGTCCAAAGCCAAGGGAGCAGAGTTGCCTCCCAGTGGTCTTGGAAGGTGGAGCTGCAGCCCAGGGCCAGGGCCTCCACCCAGAATCCAGAGAACATGGCAACACCCAGAGTCTAGAGGGCAGAGCCATTGCCCAAATTGTCCCAAAGAACAGAGGATTATTTTCAAGACTTGAGAGCTAATGGGAATTGTTCTGCTAGGTTATAGCCTTGTTTGGTGCCTTTTGTCTTTTCTTTCCCTCTAACTTCTCCCATTTGTAATGGAAATATCTACCTTGTATCTGGTCCACCATTGTCCTTTGGAAACAGGTAATTTATAGTCTAGATTTCACAGGTTCACATATGCAGAGGAATTTTGCCCCAGGATGGAATACACCTAATGTCTCACCCATACTTGATTTAGATGATTCAGAAGATGAGGTTTCGGACTTGCAGTTGATGTAAGACTTTTGAGATGATGTGATGGGATGAGTGTGTCTTGCATGTGCTAAGGACATGAGTTTTGGAGGAGCCAAAGAGTGAAATGTTATGAATTGAATTGTGTGCCCTCAAAATATGTGTTGTAAATTCTAACCTCTAAATCTGTGGCTGTAATCCTGTTTGAGAATAAGTTTTCTGTTGTTGTTGTTGTTGTTATGTGCCATTGAGTCGGACCCGACTCATAGCAACCCCTCCTTGGGTTTCCGAGGCAGTATCACTACGGAAGTAGGATTGCCCAACCTTCCTTCCGAGGAGTGGCTGGTGGGTTTGAACCGCCAGCCTTCTGGTTAGCAGTCAAGTGCCTTAGGCACTATGCTACCAGAGCTCCCTAAGTTTTCTGTTAGGAGCTACGAAATAAGCTGAAAAGACAAGGCCCTCCCTTTAGAGATAAGAGGAAAAGTCTTCCCCCAGAGCCAGCATCTTGAATTTGGACTTCAGCCTCCTCAACTGTGAAAAAATAAGTTTCTGTTTCTTAGAGCCACTCACTTATGGCATTTCTGTTATAGCAGCATGAGAGAACTAAGACATACTTCAAGTCAGAGTTGTGTTCTCTGGAAGTCAGAACATGGCTCCTCTGGTGCCTCCATTTTCATTTTCCTTCACTGGTGTTTTGATCTTAGTGGAGTCTTACAAGCCCACTGCTGTCCAGTCCGTTCAGAGTCATGGTGACGCCAAGTGATACACTGTAAAACTGTTCCACAGGTTTTTCTTTTTCTTTTTTTAATTTTTATTGTCATTTGGGTGAAAGTTTATAGAGCAAATTCATTTTCCATACGGCAGTTCATTCACATGTTGTTTCATGACATTGACTACAATTCCCTACAATAACAGCTCCCTTCCCACATCCTCCCTGTAACTGCCCCTTCCCTGTGTCCTTCTCTAGAGGTTTTCTTGACGTAATCTTTACAGAAGGAGCTCTGGTAGCATAGTGCCTAAAGCACTTGACTGCTAACCAGAAGGCTGGCGGTTCAAACCCACCAGCCCCTCCTCAGAAGGAAGGTTGGGCATTCCTACTTCCGTAGTGATACTGCCTCGGAAACCCAAGGAGGGGTCGCTATGAGTCAGGGCCGACTCGATGGCAAATGACAACAACAACAACAACAATCTTTACAGAAGCAGATCACCAGATCGCTCTTTTTGGCACTGCCGGGTGGATTTGAACCCACAACCTTTAGGTTAGCAGTCATTTATGCCCTATGTTTGTGTGTGCATGTACACCTTACTTGGTTTCATATCTCACTTCTGCCATATACTGGCTTTGTGAATTAACCTCTCTGAGGTTCAATTCCCTCTGCTGCAGAATGGGGAGATGGTGGTGTCTACTCATAGGGTATTCAGGGTTAAATAAGATTTTATTTATAAAGAGCTTAGCACAGTGCCTGGCACAGTGTTCGTTTTGAATAAATGGTAGCTATTATGTGTATAGCAAAAAAAAAAAAAAAAGACTTTACTAGAATGTTGGCAGCATTTATCTCTAGTGGGCGGGATTATGGCTACAATGAACATCTATTACTTTTGTAACGAGAGAAAAAGAACAGTAAATGTTATTATTAATTTAAAAATCTGGCTTTGCTTTTGTCAGAAGAAACCTGCAGTTAACGTACTAACCTCCAAGTGAGACAAGGTCTCTAGTTTTATACCGGCACTTTAAAGACAACCCTGCCTTCCACTACCAATTAAATGATAAAAAACCAAAAAGCAAACTCACTGCTGTCGAGTCAATTCTGACTCATAGCGACCCTAGAGGACAGAGCAGAACTGCCCCATAGGGTTTCCAAGGCTGTAAATCTTTATAGAAGCAGACTGCCTCTTCTTTCTCCAGCAGAGCAGCTGGTGGGTTCAAACCGCTGATCTTTTGGTTAGCAACCGAGCTCTTAACTGCTGTGCCACCAGGGCTCCTTAATCAAATAATAGGGACTATAGTAGAGGAAGGAGCCTGGAGGTGTAGTGGTTAAAGCATTCGAGTGCTAACCAGAAGGTTGGTGGTTTGAACCTCTCAGCTGCTCTGTGGGAGAAAGATGAGGCAGTCTGCTTCCATAGAGATTTGTTGTTGTTGTTGTTGTTATGTGCTGTCGAGTCAGACCGACTCATCCTTGGAAACCTTATGGGACAGTTCTACTATGTCCTATAAATAGGATTCTATGAGTGGGAATCCACTCAGTGGCAACGAATTTATAATAGATGGAGACACTTGGTCAGAATCTTGAGAGATTTCATTCTCACTGAGTCTTGCAGTTGGATGCCCGCTGCTGCCTGGAGGACAGGTAGGACACAGGGATGGCAACTCCGAAAAGAAGGCCCCCCTCATTGAAAAGTCTCCGAGGCTCTTATCGGAAATGTCTCACTCTCCAGACAGCGCTCCACGAGAGTGACACTATCCTCTGCTGAGCCTTCACTTGGCCATCTCAGAAAATAAAACACACCAGCCCACCTCCAGCAGGGGAGAGAGGCTGTGAGCAGCCTCATCTGGCAGTCAGAATAATATATGAGGACCAAGCTCTTAGCTCGGCCTCTGGGCAAGCTTCTAGACCTTTAGCCCATGGCCCTGATGGCAGCGGGAGACGGATCTCGGCTGGAGCTGCACGACCCCCTCCTTGCTCCTCCAGAGCCAGCCTCTGCCAACGGGAAGCGGCAGAGTGCCTACCCTGCTCCGTTTATCTGCGGAACCATCGCCCTGCTCCGGCTGGCTTCTGAGCGTCTTTCTTCTTCTTCCGCGCCCTGGAGGGGGAATAGTGCTGCCGACTCAGGAATAAAATGCCGCCTCTGTTTGGGAGACAAAGAACAGAGTGGCTCCTCCGGGTCAGCTGTCTTTCTTGGCCAGCGGGTTCCCTGGCCTCCCCCACGCCCCATGAGGAGGGCCAGGATGTCTGGGGCTAGGCTGGGAGACTCCGCCTGCCTCCGGAGCTGCTGCACTCTGAACCATGTGTTCACTTAAAAAATCCCAAACAGTTTACCTGCTCTGGAAGACGTTAATCTGCTGGTGGCGTGGGGATGGGGGCTTGCTGTGGCTGCCTATGTGTGTATAGTAGGGAGGGTGAGGACATGTATGTGAAAGTATGTATGGGAATGTGTGACAGTGCATGTGTGCGTGCTATCTAGAGGGAGAGCACACACAAAAGCCATGAGGTGTGGACTCCAGCCTTCCCTTGGTGCCCCCATGTGTGCAGCGTAGAACGCCTGCACAGGCTTTCCGAGGCTGTAACCTTTCTGATTAGATCGCCAGGCTTGCTTCCTAGGTGCCTCTGGGCGGGTTCCAGCTGCCAGCCTTCCAACTAGTAGCTGAGCACTTAACCATTTACACTACCCAAGGACTCCTGAAATGTAGGGGTTAAAAGAGTGTGCAAACCAGCGTGAGAAAGAACGTGTGTGAGCATGTGAATGTATGTGTGTACTAACTAGTGTGTGAGAACATCCGAAGGAAATCATGTGAGTGCACATGAGATAATGCTGAGCTTGTAACAGTGCGAGTCCATGTGTACGACCGTGTTACAGCGTGTGCATGCACTAATAGAGTGTCAGAGCATGTGTGGAAGTGTGAAGAAAACATGTGCACCAGTTGGGGCAAAGCATATGAGCCAATGTGAACGTGTGCATGAAAGTTTTGTACTAGGGCTTGAGGATGTGTGTATTAGAATGTAAGTGTATGTGGAAGTGTGTAAAAGCAGACGTATGTTAACTAGTGTGTGAACGTGTGTGAGAACTGTGACTGTGTTCTTGTGCGTATTAACTACAGTGTTAGAGAGTGGAAGTGTGTGTAGTAGTTTGAGAGAATGTGTGAAAATGTGTGAAAGGCTCTGTGTGAGAACGTCTGAACTCGTGTGAAGGTATGTGTGCACCAGTGGGTGAACACGCACGTGTGCATCAGCGTGTGCAGGGAGCAGAAAGCAAGAGAGACCAAGTGGGCAAGTCTGGGTGGACCGCCGGAGACCCCGAGGTAGGGAGCCCCGGAGGTGGGGAACCCCGCGTGTGAGGGCGCGTGCGCGCGCACCCGGCCGGCGCGTGGGCGTCAGCGCGCGCGAGCGCGCCGCCGCCCCCCACAAGGGTCGGAGCGGGTTGCCATGGGAACGCGCCGCGGCCCGAGTTAATCATTTCCTGTGGAAAGTGTGCGGGAGGGGCGGGAGCCTGGCGGAGCAGGGCGGGCCGAGGAGGAGGCGGCGGCGGCGTGGAGCTGCCTCCAGCCGGCGGGCCGGGCCGGGCCGAGCCCCCGGCGTTGAGGCGACGCGGGGAGCCTGCCTCGGCGAGGCCGGTGAGTGCGGGGCTCGGGCGGGCTGTGGGCGGGCTGGGCGCTTGTGCTCCACCCGGCCTACTGTAGGGGGCGCCGTGCCCAGCCCGGCCCTGACCGCGGGACCCCCGTGTCTGGGCCCGCTGGGGTTGCGGGGAGGGCCCAGCGTCGGGAACCCAGCCCTGCGCGGGCCCTCGCCGCCCTTGGCGCGGTCCAGTCGAGCACCATCTGAGCTGGGCACTGGAGCGGGACGTCCCCTGGGATCCGAGCAGCCTTGGGACCCCCGTTTCGTTTTCATTGGCCAGGGCGAGCGCGGCCCCTACCCCTGGGGCCAGATGTTATTCAGCGCCGCCCCTTCCCCTTGAAATGGGTTTTGAGCCCTCCCACCTTGTCTCATGGGCAGTTCGCTTTCCAGCTGGCAGCCGGGGGTGGGGTGGGCCAGCCCCTAGTGCAGGAAGGAGGGCCTCGGCTGGTGCCCTCCTGGGCAGTGGGGAATCCGGCTATTGCCAGCTGCAGCTTGGAGGTGCCAGCAGGGAGGACAAGCCCCGAAGCCATTCCCTTTAGCCCGTCATCTTGAGTGAGAGCCGATGCCATCAGGCCTGCTCCTGGGAGACTGTAATTTCTCAAGTGGCCCTTGCCCCCACCATGAGCACATCTGTCTCAAGGCTGAGGCCCTCCGCGACCCTGGCCTTCCTGCTGCCTGAGGCTGGGTGAGCACCGTCCTTGCCCGGGCTGTTTTCCCCATGCCCTTGATAAAGTAGCCGTCTCCTTGGCCAGCAGAGTCATTGGCCAGGAATGCAGCCTGAGAGTGGGGCCCTGGATTTGCAGTGATCGGACTTGAGGGACGCAGGATGACAAATTCTGCTGTCTTCAGGGCACAGTGGAGCAGAGAATTTGAAAACCCTGGAAAACTCAGGTTCATGGCTCTGCAGGGGAGGTCTCAGCCCCTATACAACTCCCCTGGCCTTCTGCTTGCCCTCCCATGGAGACTATGCCCTCCCCAGCAGCAGTGCCTGGGCACTTGCAAAATCTGCCCCTCACTCATTGCGGTGTCCCTGGTCTAGGGAAAGGAGAGAGCCCTTGACCCTGCAGCTGTGCCACCTGGCCTAAACCCAGGAAGAGGTGTCCTCTTCCTCCAGCTGTCTCCTCTGTACTCACCCGCCACTGGAGGGAGGTCACTGAAAAAGAAAATTTTGAGCCCCTTGTATCATATGCCAATATTGTTCTGAGCACTTTATACATTGTTTAACTTTACACCAACCTTAGAAGGTGGAGTTCTTCCCATTATACAGATGGGAAAATTGAGGCACAGAAAGACAAAGTAATTCTCCCAAGGTCACACAGCTAATAAGTGACAGAGCCAGATTCTGAACCGGCTTTTGATCGTAACCACTCCTCCAGGTGATCCCCGCCCCCACATCCTTGGCTGGTAGAGGCCCCGGATGCCAGATGGGTTATGTAATGGAATGCCCATGCAAGTGAGGGGTGAGAGGGTGCCTCTCTCTGGGCCCAGAACCATGGTCTTATTTGAGACTCTTTGATACTCTCAACCTCCCATGCTCTTCCGGCTGCTAAATTCAGCTGCTTTTTCCTCTTTGGGATGCTGTACACACCCTTCCTCTTTCTTCCTGACATCTTCCTGGCTGCCTTCCTGACTTCCCTTCCTGAAAGCCACAGAAATACTGTCTGCTTCTCTGCCCCTCAGCCCTAACTGCTTCCCTTAAACATCTCCCTGTACCATGAAGTCGACCGGCAGTGCCCTGCACCACCCACCTCACCTTTCAGCAGGAGCCGTCTCTTTCCCTCCTTGCCCATTGGGCAGCTGGTCCACAGGGCTGGTTGTTTGCCCAGCTCTGTGCCAGGCAGTCTGGAGAAGGGACGTTTGGCTGTTCCCCCTGGTTTCTTCCCCTGCGCCCTGGCCGGTCTTGGTTTCCTTAGTGGAGCCAGCCCACATACTTGGATTTGCTCTGCTCTGCCCTGTGGCCCACACTCCTGCCCCTTCCTGGTGATTCTGCACCAAGGAGCTGCCTCCTCCAGGTTGTCGTCTCCTCACTGGGGGACCCCTTCTACCAGGGGTCAGCTATGCAGACATCAGACACCAGGTCTTCATGCCCCCCCACCGCCCTTGCTTCCCTCATTCCTGTCCCTCTGTCTCCCCAACATGGTCCAGTCTCCCCTGTTCTAAAAACACATCCTCTCCATTCGTCCTGTCCTTCCCCTGCTAGCCAGACTTCCCCAGACAGGGCAGTAGCTGCTTCCTCTAGCTGCCATCCCACTTCTGAGTCTTCTCAAATCTGCCCTCTGCCCTGCTTAAGGAGCCCCAGGGGCTCTCTGCCTGTCTCAGTTTCCTTCCAGTCTGATTCCGTGTGGCCTGGTGCGCTGGGAACCTGTGACCGTCCTTCCCTTCCCGTTCTCTCTCTGGTCAGTTCCAAGGACTCTGTCCTCACCTGTACTTCTGCCGTCTCCAGCCAGCCTTTTCTGGCTTTCATGCCCTTCCCACCCAGAAGTGAGCTCTGTCCGCTCCTGGTGGCCTCTTCTCTTGCACACCTTTTGTACTGCTGGTGGCAGTGGGGACCCTCGTTAGCCTCCCAGCTTTGAACTCTGCACAGTTTGAGCGCAAGCCTTTGCATGCCCTCCTTTGGGCATTCACTCAACAAGCCACCACAGAGCGCTTCCTCAGTGTGGATGCAGCTCCAAGTGTGGGGGGCTGCAAAAATGAATGGGCCGTGGTTCTACCCTCAGGGAACCCTAGTCTCTCAGGGAAGGTAGACACCATTCAAACAGGTGTCTTTACTGCTTGGTAGGAAGCAGTGGTGGTTTAATAGATGATAATTTTTCTCACCTTCCATTCAGGAGACCAGTTTGGTTCCCAACCAATACATCTTAATCCCAGCCATTACCCATTGTCACTGGAGGCTTGCATGTTGTTCTGATACTTAATAGGTTTCAGCGGAGCTTCCAGACTAATACAGACTAGGAAGAAAGGCTAGTGGACTACTTCTGAAAATCTCCCAGTGGAAACCCTGTGGATCACAGCGGTCCCATCTACGACTGATCACGAGGATGGCAGGATGGGACGTTTCACTCCATTGTACGGGGAGTCTCTTAAGGAGAGGCATAAGTCTCTTGTGGGAGACAGCTAATGACAACAACAATACACTTCTTGATAGAGAGTGGTCAGTGCAGTGAGGGGTGGGGAAAGTGGGCCACGGCCTAGGTGGCTCCACTAAAAAGTCCCTGGGGGGCCATCTGTAAATGACATTTCTGCTTGATGGGAGCGTGGGACTATAGCCTGGGTGCCTTCATGCCCTTGAGGCTGCTCCGCACACAGTAGGTGCTCAATAAAGACCTGTGCAGTGAATACGTGAACTCTGTTCCGTTCTTTTGCTCATAGTTTGTAGGGATCTGTGGGCTCTCCTTCTCCAAGCAGTCACCCTCAGTGCATCCCCCATTTTCCCACATCTGGTGGGTACCTCCAGCCTCACCTCTATCACCTGCTCAGAGTGTGAAAGTTTGTCCAAGTGTTCGTCTCCCATCTGACCAGGAGCTCTGAGGTCAGGTTTTGTCTGATCAAAGAGGACCCCTGGTATGTAGTAGGCACTTGACAAATGATTCAGTGAAGAGTGAATGAATCCTTGAAGCCCAGAACCTAGCAAGTGTCTGCCACATGGACACAGTGAAGTCTGGTTGAATGCCCCAACAAGCTGACTTTAAGAGAATTTGATACATACACACCTCGTTTAGTAACTGGGCAGATGGGACTGTCTGCGACCACTGCCTGAGCCCCTGTTCAGTGCTGTGTTGCTATTCAGAGCATTAGCTCCTTGGACGGCAGAGGAGCTTGAAGCATAGGGGTTACTTACTCCCGCTAAATGCAGTCAGAAAATGAGATTGCTTTTAGGGAAATGGATTAGATTTTGGAAGATTCCGTTGACTGACTTTTGCTTCATGAAACGTGCCAGGCTCGGGGTGGCAGAGCTGAAACGGGGAGTCTCCACGGTGGGCTGCAGACATCTGTGATGGGCTCCTTCCCTCTTCAGTACGTTCCTGCTCATGACAAAACAGCCAGAAAACCAGACCTTTGCAGCAGAGTTGATTGAGACTTGCGGCAACTCCGTGTTACAGCTCAGTAGGCCTGTGCTCCATGGGTCTCTCAATGGCTGGTTTTTCAGAAGTAGGCCACCAGGCCTTTCTTCCAAGGTGCCTCTGGGTGGACACGAGCTGCCATCCTTTCGGAGCCAGACACCTAACCATCGCGCCACCCAGAGACCCCTACTCAGTAACAAACAGCCCTGAAGTGGTGGCAGGCCCTGTCTCGTCCTCCAAGCGGGGGGTCCTTGGGGCACATTGGTGTTTTGGTTGCTGCTCTCGGTAACAGGTCACCCTACCAGGTGGCCTGCCTCCATCCCAAGGTGCCATTCGGCAGTCATCACACACGTCTCCCCGTTCTCTCCACAGGGCGCCCAGCACCCCGAGGAGGCTGCTGAGCCTCGGGCCATGGTCCCATCTCGCAGGACGTGGAACCTGGGAGCCACGCCCTCGCTGCGGGGCCTGTGGAGAGTGGGCCGGGCCCAAGAGCCCCAGCCAGGGATGGCCCGCCCCGCCCCAGCCAGCCCGGCTGCCCGCCCTTTCCCACACACCGGCCCGGGGAGATTGAGAACTGGTGAGTCCGCATTTTTAAAATGCCTCTTTATTTCCCTTCCTTCCTCCAGATACCAGAGATGAGACTGAGGTTTCTCGGCCGGTTCCTAAACTCAGTCAGAGCTGTCAGGTAATTACAGGGTAACAGGCAGGCTGATCGCCCGGGCGTGGAGCAGAGTGTCAATCTCTGGGCGCTCCCTGGGGCGGGCGCCCCTGTCTGTAAGGGGAAGCCTTGGAAGCCGAGTTAAACTTTAACTCAGGGTGTAGAGCAGGGAAGAATCACCCCCAACTGCCACGCTATTTTGGACTGAGCCAGGCTGATGTAGACTGTTCCCCGCTGCCCTGGGCCAGAGAGCCTGAGAGCTCGTGGTCTCGCTCGGGCGTCTGCGCGGCTTGTAAACAAGGTAGGTGAAGTGGCCGCCACGGCGCCCTGCCCGGCACTGACACTTGATCCCGCTTGGGCTCGCCTCGTGGATGGCTGGATGGCGGGAGGAGCGGACTGAGGCCGCTTGGCAGCGTGGCCTGGCGGGGCTGCGGTGCTATGCACTCGGGCTTGGGGGCCAGCCAGGGCAACTTCCATGGCAGTTCTGACAGTAGGTGGATGTTGAAGGGGGGTCCCTGAGTCTGGGCTCCAGCCACCTCCCTGGGGGAGCTGTCCTGCCAGCTTGTCTTTCTAGGTCACGTCGCCCGGTGCCGCGAATGTCAAGGTGTGAGCCGCTCCTCCGATTCCGGGTGGGCGGGATTGCCAGGTTGGGGAGCTGGCTAGGACCCTTCTCTTGAGTTGGCTTGGAAGTGTGGGAGGAGAAAGGGATCTCCTGACACCTACAGGGAAGACAGTTGAGTAGACTTCCAGCCCGTGTGAGCTGGCGGTCCCTCCAGGCTGTCGGGTCCAGACCCCTTGATGTACAGAAGGGGACACTCCTCTCAAGGTCTCCCTCTCCTGCTACGTTTGAGCCATCGGCTCAACTGAGTGGGGTGCCTTCCAACACCTCTCTGCAGGGGGCTGTTCTGGGGTTTCTTGGGGCTGATGCTCCAGGACAGTGTGGCCCCTGGGATGACTTGGGGGCCTTGAGGATGGGGAACCTGAGCTTTGAGTCAGGCAGTCTCAGTCTGGAATGGGCTAGGGATGGTCCCCACCCCGAAGGTTGTCCTACGGATTACACATGTAATATGGACAATTTTTTCTTTTCTGGTAAACAAACAAAACAATCCAAAACCAAAATCATGCTCCCTTGGAAAACTTAAAAACCACAGAAAAGTATAAAGGAAAAAAAAAGGCCCCTAAAAATCTATCACTGAAAATTTTACATGATTCTTTGCAGTCTTTTCTGTCTATTCTTGTAGATCTGTTAAACAAGTATTAGGAGAAGCATATGACTTTTATCAATTTAAAATATTTTATCCATTTTAAAAAATTGAAGACAAGGGTCATGTGAGATCCTGTGTGTGAAGTGCCAAGCCTGGTGCCTGCCCCTGGGGAGGGGCTCGCCATTTTTCTGCCCCTGGGCCCCTCCCTTCCCACTGCTGCTTGTCAGCTCTGAGGGTCACAAATGGGATTTAAATACTTGGCTCTGTGTGACCCCGGCACATTATTACCCCTTCTGGGCTCCCAGTCCTTGCCTGGCAAACGGGAGGAGTGCCCCCACCTCTCAGGGTGGTCTGAGGAGCTGACAGCAGCCCTGAAGCTGCTCTGTGGGCGCTTCCTCTGAGCCAGGCCCTTGGTGAGCTCTTCATGCGTCTTACCATTCAGACCTCAGCTCAAAGCTGTGAGGGTGGTTCTTTATCTCCATTTAACTGATGAGGAAACTGAGGAGCAAGGACCGGGATGAGGCCTGGAAACCCTTGGCCCAGCGGCTTGTACTTAAGGTTATTATTACATCCCAGGGGGTGGCTGCCAAGCTTGTCTCTGAGAGGTGGACCCCCTCCGTCCCCTCTCCCGCTCCGCAGGCTGAGCTGGGGCTAGCTGGGCTGGGCCTGCAGTGGGGGAGGTAGGTGGAGTTGGGGGCCGGTGATGCCACAGTCAGCTCCCCCTCACACACAGCAATCTGGTGAAGGAGGCAGTGTGTCAGAGGCAATGGGGGGTGCCCTTCCGCTGGTCCTGAATATGTTTTGGAGACTGCAGGGACCCGGCTACCCAGAGTGGGCTGAATGAACGCAGGGGAGAAAGTGCCACCTAGAGGCGGCCTGGGAAATACAGCAGAGGTGGAGTGCCTCCTTGAAGCATTTGCTCAGGCAGTTGCTGTCAGCTCTCTCTGCTGCTCTCTCTGTTGTTAGGTGCCCTCAAGTCCATTCCGACTGACAGTGGCCCTGTGTGGCAGAGTAGAACTGCGCCACAGCAGGTCTTTCCCCCACAAAGCGACTGGGTTCGTTCAAACCAACAACTTTTTGGTTAGCAGCTGAGTACTTAACTGTTGCACCCCTAAACCGAAACCAAACCCACTGCCATCAGGTCGATTACAACTCATAGCAATCCTTGTTGGGTTTCCGAGCTGGTAAATCTTTACAGAAGTGGATTGCCCCATCGGCCTTCCACACAGTGGCTGGTGGGTTTGAACCGCCAACCTTCTGGTTAGCAGTCAAAAGCCTTAGGCACTGCGCCACTAGAGAGGGTACTAATGAGCAGGTGCCAGCTCCTAAACCACCATGGGGCATGAGGAGAGCCTTCCTGAAGGGAACCTTTAGGTAAGAAGGGAGCACAGCCACTGCTGGGCTGGGCTGGGGTGGGGGTGGGGGTGAAAGCTGAGCTCAGTTGCTGCCCTGGCCAGTGGTCCACGCTAGCAGTCCGGGTGTCTCACCTTACTCTCTGTCCTGGGACAGGGCGTGGAAAAGACACTGCAGCTGGCAGTGACGAGGACTCCAGTGCCCGAAGTGCCACTCGTCCTACCCTAGCTCAGTGCCGAGCCCTCAGCGTGGACTGGGCTGGCCCTCGGAGCCCCCGCAGGTTCTACCTGGCTGTGCAGGTAAGCCTTGGGGCCATGCGAAACATGCAGAGGTCGAGCCACGTGAGCCTTGCCCTCTGGGCTCCAGTCGCTGGGACCCCTACAGGCTTCTCCGGGGGAGAGGCACAGGGAGGGAGAACAGGGAGCTGCCTGGAGCCTCTTTGCCATGCTCCTCACGGTGCACCCACCCGGGAGCCTGCAAGGACGGAGCCGTTGCTGTATTGAGTTATGGCAGGGAAAGTCTCACCGGAGATGACAGGAGCTTTTCAGCCACGCCCTGGCTGAGGTGAAAGGGGCAAGAGTGGAATCGCTGTTGAGAAGGTGTTGGGGATACTGGCTGCGTTTGGAGTCTGTTTATTCCTACTCAGGCATGTGGTCCTGAGTCCATGAAGGAGTCGCTTGTTTCCCCTCATTTTAAGTGAGAAGCCAAAGCGTCACAGGGGACTTCACTGAAACTTGGGTGCTTCTCCATTGCCATAATCACAAAGTGACTTTAGAAGGACAAATATTAAATAAATGTGTGTAAAAACCAAAAACCAAACTCACTGCTGTCGAATCAGATCTGACTCATAGCAGCCCCTCCTTGGGTTTCCGAGGTGGTATCACTACAGAAGTAGATTGCCCCATCTTCCTTCTGAGGAGTGGCTGATGGGCTTGAACTGCCACCCTTCTGGTTAGCAGTCAAGTGCCTTAGGCACTATGCTACCAGAGCTCCTAAATGTGTATGTATATATGTAAATGTATATAATATATATCTCCTTTTTTATAAAGTATACATATACATAGAGTATTTGTAGAAACTATACATAATGATGATGATAGCTACTATTTATGGAATGCTTACTGGGCCTGTGGCTCTCCATGTGGGATTTATCTTCATAATCAGCCTCAAGATAGTTACTGTTGTTATCTGACAGTCATAGATGAGTCCATGGAGGCTCAGAGAGGTTAAGTAGCTGGCTTCTGGTCACACAGCAAGCTGGGATCAGAAGCACTAAACATGAGTAGCTTTATGACATGTGGTGTAAAGAATTAACACAGGCAGAGATGTGAAGCCTAGAGATGGAATGCGCCCTGTAGTCCAGTCTTTGAGGCATCCATTCCTAAGACTTGGGTGTTTTTTTGTTCAGACATTTTTCTTTCCGATAAACTCACTGTCTTCAAGTTGATTCCGACTCATAGCAACCCCCATTGGGTTTCCAAGGCTGTAAATCTTTATGGAAGCAGACTGCCTCATCTTTTTTTTCCATGGAGCAGCTGGTAGGCTCGAACCACTGACCTGTCTAATGTTTATGATTTATTTTTATATACTCTTCTGTGACTAGCTCTTTCTCTGGGTGGCAAATCTTGGTGATCCTTTTATGCCTGTCAGTATATAGAGACTGGCTTTAAGCAGTCGTGTACTGTATACTACTGCAGGGTTTACCGTGACTGGTCTAACTGCCCCTCTATTTGTATCGTTTATGATTGTGGTGAGCCCCCTTAAATATCTCTGCACTCAGGCAGCCACAGCTTTGAGTATTTGCAATTCGTTATATTCTAGGATAGTCTCTGGGTCAGAGGCACTGCACGTCTTCAGTTCAGTCATTCATTCAGCAGATATTCATGTCATGTGTACTTCGGGCCAGCTGCTGTGCAAGGTGCAGGGATACAGTGAAGAACAGCAATGGACCTTACAGTCTATAGGGGGCGCCAGAGAGTAAACAGATAATCATGAATGTGTAAGTGTGAACTGTAGCAGAGGAAGTGGCAGAGCGGAGGAGCCAGAATTATCTGGGTGGTGTTGCCAAGCCCCCCCAGAAAGCTTGGGCACTGTTTCCTCACACTCTCCTGACGTCCACATATGCAGATCCTGCCCTGTCTGGAAGCCACATTTGCACAAAGCGCTGAAGGGACATGTGCAGATGGAGGGGGCAGGGGTAGAGCTCTGGACGTGCACATGCCCTTTGAGCATGTTCCTTCTGGTGTCGCAAAAGCCTGGAGCCCTGGGTCATAGCCCCAGATCCTGCTCGGACAGGGGCCCAGAGCTGATGTTGCTTCAGGGCCCATTTTGTGGTTCGTTGTGTTTCTCAGCCCTTCTCGTGTGGCTTACCTGAAAACCAAACCAGGCAGTCCTCTTTTTCATCTGTCAGGTCAGCGAGAAAAGCAAGCCTGGGAGAGAATAGTTGAAGAAACTAGAGGATCTGTTGCGTGTTTTTTCTCCGACTGGGGCCAGTGGTAGTTAAAGTGGGAGGAGGCGGACGAGAACCCACAGTCTTGAGTTGGGTGGTGTTTCTTTTCTTGAGTTTTGATTATGGGGTGTTGGGCTGTGGTTGCAGTCAAGCTCCGGGGTCAGCAGATCTGCCGAGTCTCTGAGGCGCTCCCGCCCCCTCCCAGTTGAAATGCTCATGTCCTTCCGGACCCTGGCAAAGTACACTTCCATTTTCAGTGATTCAGGGGGCATGGCTGTGGGCCCAATGAGCATTGTGAACATTGTTTCCGAAGACAGTGAGGAGACCTACTAGGTTTGGTGAACTCCAGCTTCTCATCAAGTAGTTAAAATCCGAGAGCCTCCCTGCAGAGGCCCTGCAGAAATTCCCAGCCCCCTGGGGGCCTGTCTACCCTCCCTGTGTAGCTTGGCCAGCAGGCCAGAAATAGTGTAACCTTTGCTCTGGTCGGTAAACGGAAGCTTCCAGCTGCTGCTGTTGCTGCCGCCGCTGACAAGCCTGCTCGTGATGGTATGGCAGTTGGTTGAAGGGTTGGGACAAAATAAAGTCGGCAGGAATTTTCCTAAAGATGAGAGGTGTAGTGGATCCCCTCCCTCCTCCAGCGGAGTCGAACAGGGGGTCGAGAGAGCGAGGGGGCGGGTCGTGAGCCAGCGGGCCGCAGAGTTGCTGTCCTCTTTTCAATTCTCTTTACTGGCTTTTCCTGATTATAGAAGTACAGAAATGGAAGGTTACAGAAATAATGTAACGATGTTGTTGTAATTAGGTGCTGTTGGGTCAATTTCGACTCCTAGTGACCCATGTGACAGGGTAGAACTGACCCGTAGGGGTTTCTTGGCTATAATTTTTTTTTTTTTAATTGTGATTTGGGTGAAGATTTACAGAGCAAATTCACTTTCCATTCAGCTGTTCACATATACTTTGTCTCATGTCATTGACCACAGTTTACCACAATGCAACAGCTCCCCTCCCACTTCCTCCCCATAGTTACCTCTTCCCAGTG